CCGAAGACGAAGATGAAACACTCCTAGTTAACTCTCAAACTCATGGCGCATCTGACTCCACAAAGATACAAGAGGCACATGAGGGGCCACATCTGGTTCAAAGCATTTCGGAACATACAGTCGAAGATGATAAAGCACAAGTCTCTTTGAGCGCGATGCATCAACGCGCTTATCCGCCTGCACCGTATTGCGAGACTGAGAGCGAGTCTTCGGTGGAAGAAACAGATGCACGCCTTGCTCCGAAGCCAGATCAACAAGCCGAGGGCATTCCAGATGATCTATCTGATCATAGCAGCGTAGGAAGCAAATGGTCCACGCGCGCCGATATGGGACTTGTCCTAGACGACGACCGTTCAGATGATGCAAACAATGCTGAGACTGGACAAAAGCATGGTTGGATGTCACACATATCTTCGACCGACGGAACAATGGCTTCGAGTGATGAGTCGGATCAGGATCAGACCGACTCTCAAGATGAACTTGACACTCACACTTTCGGAGAAGAGCCGATCCAATCGCGAGGGAACTCTCAGACTAATGCTGAGTATAGCGTGTACTGTCCGTATAGCTGCGGCGCTGTACTGAAAGGTGCGGATGCAGTCAAAAACCTGGCACATCACATTCGGAATTGGTGCACAGAGACAGTGTCCAATCAACATCGATCTGAGACAGTGTTCAATCAACATCCCTCTCGTTATTTGTGTCCTGTCAAAGGTTGTTATAAGCGGTACTCTCAGTCGGATATGTTCAGACTGCATATGCAGAGACGACACGGTGCGCCAGCAGTGATACAACAAATACCACGCCTTCCCAGCGACACAACTGGCGAAGGTGCCACTGAAACGGCGGCCTTAGTGCCACGCCAAATCCACTACTCTGAGCTCAAGGCTGCCACTGACTTCGAGATGCACGCCCGCAGATGTTTTGATTGCAAAGATCCGTTGGAAGTGTTTCGCCGCAAAAGCGAACTGTGCCACATGGGTCTCCGCTATGCTCGCAAAGTTCTTGAGCTGCTGTACAAATCCAACGGCGAGGTATTTGCCACCGCTATCGGGTCCATCGGAAACGAATTGGTAGAGCAACATCCAGACAAGGTCGATCTACCTCCTCGACACTACGGTCAAATTGAAAGTCTCTTCAAAGCCATTGAGCATTGCCTACAGCGTTATTCTTTTTACGTGGTAAAGGAAGATGGTCAAACACGTTTCTTCAGAACCAATCCCGGAAAAGGTTCTTGGATAGAGCTTCACCCCTGCTCTCAGTGCAAAAGACCGTTGGGATCGCAAATCAAACTGCTCAATAATGGATTATCGTCGCACGTAAATTGTTGGAAGATTGTTTATCAGGACACGGAATCTGATGGAGAGCCACGACACCCCCCACCGCCGTTACCGAGGCAGCCTCCCCCGTCCAAAGGCTCTACAAAAATCAAAAGAACCGGCTACCCAACTCCGCCAGCTGGCTATATCGCATATAACTACCATCGAACCACGCCTTCAAGGGAGCGTCCCCCGTCCAACGGCTCTACCAAAACTGGAACAGTCCACTACCCATGCCCGCCGCCTGGCTACAACCAAATATATGACAACTTTCGAACCACGCCGCCTCCAGCTCTAGAGGGGCGAGATTATTTTTCTCCAGGGCAAGTTCTAAAGCCTCTATCGCTTTACCGAGACCAGGAAAAACCACGCTCAAGTTTCGATTACTTTGTTTCACCCCCAGTTAAATCCGATCAAGACGGCACGCGTAGGTCAAGTCGGCCCAAGACTGCCAAACGAGTAACAACAGGCTTCGCGAGAAAAGGCTCCTCGAAATCCAAGCCTGACAGAAGAGCAGACTCTGGAGACGAGGAAGACGGAGACGATCGGCGAGGTGATGATATGTCTGAAGGATGCTCAAGACGGTATGGACCGGAAGACGTTCGGTGGGCTCCAAGGAGTGGTTACGATGGCGAAACAGATAGAGAAAGACGTGATAGAGAAAGACGAGACTTCCCGCAAACGATCAAGGGGGCCAATGGGTCGGTTACACAGATATGTTAGTACTAGTCTTGAATCAATGCTTCTCATCCTGAGCGTTAGTCGATACGCCATCTCAGGGAGCATGGACGCATGAAAGAAAGTGCAACACAGCATCGATGCAATTACGAATTGTTTAGTGTGCATGGTCGACTGTGCAATCGACATACTTTTGAATCTACATATTCGTCAACAGCCCTCGGCGCGCTAATGCATGTAAACACCAATCGTGGCTGTCGGCAACAGTCCTCCTAACTTCAAATCCCATTTATTCGTTCTGCATTACGTCCTTTTCTCGGTAATAACGAGATAATGCAAATGCCTCTTATGTGTAAAACAGCTTGTATAGGCTTAAGAATAGGAATAATTTTGTCGCGACATGTAACACGAATATTGTATGAACTTGCGTCATTGAACTCTAACAACACCATCTATATCTACCCCTCCCAAACCCCTCTAAAACTCCACCCATCGCACAAGGCTACAACAGCGTATCGCCAAGCGCACACCTCACAATCGAAACACCAGCGCGCACAGTATCACCCGCACCCTCAGCATCAAGGCTGGGGTTAACCTCCACAAGATCCAGCGCAATGAGCTGACCAGTCTCAGCAACACACTCAGCGATGAAGTCACCCTCGCGCAGCGTTAAACCACCACGGACAGGCGTACCAGTGCTGGGCGCCCACTGGGGATCCAGAGCGTCGACGTCGAAGGAGAGGTGGATGGGCGTGTCGCTTCCGATCCAACCCAGTGCCATGTCCATGACTTTGCCGATACCGTGCCTATCGTCCTGTTAGCAAACCAGATGCCAATCTTTAGGAAGCGCGCGACATACTTGTCAATCTCATGCATACTGTACGCCTTGATCCCGTATTCCTTCAAGATCTTCTTCTCCCCCTTATCAATATCCCTCAACCCGATATACACCAACTTCTTCGGACTAATCCGATGCTCTTTCTCCAGCCACGCAAACACATCCTCCCTCTTTAATTCCTCCATCTCCTTCTCATCCACAAGATCCGCCAAAAAGGCAACCGGCATACCATGAATATTCCCGCTTTCGCTCGACTCAGGCGTATTAATATCCGCGTGCGCGTCCACCCAAATAACCGCAATCTCCTTGCCCAGCCTCTCCCTTACCGCTTTCGCAGTCCCAGACACGGTGCCGATGGCAATGGAGTGGTCGCCGCCGAGCGTCAAAACCAGTTTACCGGTTTTGGCGTGGGCGTAGACTTGGTCGGAGACTTGCTTTGTTACGGCCGACACGAATCTGGGTTGCTTCATTCTGCGGACTTCGGGGTCGGAGGCGGGGCGGAGCGAGGAGTAGTTGTGGACTTTGTTGTCGTAGGTGACGTTGAAGTCGAGGTCTTGTTCTAGTTGCTTGATGAGGCCGTTTTCGATGAGCGCCATGGGGGCGGCGTCGACGCCGGCTTTGGGCTAGAGGAAACATTGTTAGTTATTCTTATTTTGGGGGGAAAGAGGTGTGGTGGGTGGGTGGGTGGGACTTACCTGGCCGCCGCTGAAGCCGACTGCGACGATGCCTAGGTCATGTTTGTTCGGCAGGAACTTGGGCTGTAGTGTGGGTGCGGAAGTCATTTTGCTGGGAGTGAGGTTAGTCATGTGATTTGTTGTGTGGAGTGGGCAGAGCTGTGGGAAAGATGAGATTGTACGTGGGTTGGTTGTTGCAGAAGTGCGACTTCTAGATAGCAAACCACCACGTTGCGAACCACGTCATCAAAAGCAATTGCAGTGACCTCTTACCTTTTGCTGTGAATTTGTATACCAATAATAAATGTCCCTCAATCTATCATGCAAAAAAAGTGCTCATACCGCAATGCGTACAACAAGACTCTTTCCCAACTCAACTCAACTCTGTCAAGAAGTCGAAGAAATGCGAAATATGCAGAAACCATCGCCAAAATCGAGGGCGGGCAGCCTTTTATGCATTTTATCTGCGCCGGATACGCTTACAATCTCTTACCTAATTCCGTGTTGCTGAATTTTCCGTCCATCGTGTGCACCTGTACTTAGAGGAAGCGTCTGATGAGGCTCTCGTCAAATTTATCACTTAGGGGAAGTAGTCTTTATCTTAGGACCGGTACCGTAAGAATGCCCCCACTACCGGCCCCGGTTGCGCGCCAGCACGCTTTAGGGAGGTGGGATGGGTGGTGCCAACGTGGCTTTTGCGCATGCTGTGGAACAGAGGAGATGTGTATCTATCTGTGAGGACTGCTGTGTAGAGGCTCGCCTTTGCTGGTAGCATGGCTCGGGGGTGCACTGGAAATGCGATTGGTCGGGTGGGCAGTGGTCTAATCCCGGCGTGGAATGGGCGGCTGCGATCGGCTTTACCGGTTCAGCCGCATGCTGAGGTCCGCACGCGAAGCCAGCTGACCTTTCTAACGCACCGTTCATCGCAGTCACATGCACTCTACCAGCTACCGTTTTCAACGCCAACGCCGCTAATGTCCGGTCCCGCAATCCGTTTCGTGGCTTCAAAGTCCGCGAAGAGCTGCTCAGGAACTGTTCAATTGCTGTGTCATGTTAAGCCTGGGGTTAGTGCGCAACGCGAAGGCATCGCAGCGGTCTCTGATGCGCGCATTGAGATATGCGTTGCCGCTCAGCCGAAAGACGGAGAGGCGAACAGGGCGGTGAGGGAATTCATTGCTGGTGCGCTGAGAGTTGCGAAGTCGGATGTTGAAGTTGTTAAAGGCATGAAGAGTAGGGAGAAGACTGTAGTTGTGCAGACGGGCATGAAAGGCACAGCTGAGGAGGAAGTCAATCGCATCAGAGCAGTCTTGGAAGGCAGAGGGTGAGGTTTCAAAATCGTGTCAAGGCATTACTATTATATTACTTTTGTGCCCGGGTCATTAAGGAGCGTCATATGTACAGCATGGATATCTCCATCTACCCCTTCATGTTCATTATCCAATAGACATTAAAGATCCGCACTATCACCATTTCCAGGTGTTAGAGAGGAATCTAGTATTGCCAGGCACCAGCATCTTCGGTCGCAACTAGAGAATCGTTAGCACATATTTGAAAAATATCAGAAGAAGCAGAAAACTTACCAGTAAGAGCGCTGAAACCGAGGCACTCATCAGAGAACTCGCCGTCCTCAACGGCACCAAAGACTTGGTATCCCTCGCCCTCGCCAGCCGGGCAGGCAACGAAGCCAGTCTCGTATTCGAGGTATCCGAAGGCGTTGCCGTTGGCAGGCGCAGTGCGGCTGAAGCCAGTGACGTCGGAGCCCTCGGGCTTGGAGACGGAGTGGGCGGTGGTGTATTGGAGAGCACCGCCGGGCGCAACGTAGACCTCCTGGCCACCAGGGACGACAACGCCAAGGGAGAGAGTTCCCTGGCCGCCAGCCAGCACAGTAGTGTTACCGGGAGGGCAGCTTCCAGCGGGAAGGTTGGAAGGGCAGTAGGACGAGGGAGGGCCGCCGCCGAGGTAGAACTTTCCGCCGCGTGCGGTCAGGGACTGGAGGTGGATGGGCGAGGCGCTGCGGGAGGAGATGACGCCGAAGTAGCCGGTGGGCGCGGCGTCGGCAGGAGCGGTCGACGACGAGGCAGGTGCGCTGCCGGTGACGGTCGCGGTGTGCGAGGGCTTGGGGCAGTCGGAGGAGATGGCAGTCGCCATGGCGCTGGCGATGAGCGTGGTGATAGCGACGGTGTACTTCATCTTGGCGAGTTTGTGTGTTGAGGTGTGGAAGAACTTCGAAAGCGAGTGTTGTAAAGGGAGTTATAAACTAGTCACTGCTGTGAATTGCTTTTGAAAGTTTGCTGAGGATGATGACCCTTTGTGCAGCGCTGTTCGCGGAACCCTTTATAGTAATGGCCAACAGACGGACGGTGCAGGGTATGAGGGGTTTGTTCTGTTCTACCGTCTTCCAACCTACAAAACGCGACTAAACAAAGTAACATTGACCCTCCCACCTATTTCCCCACCGTCATTCCTCGTATCCATGCAGACGCAGCGCTGCACTGTCCCTGCAGGCTTGGACCATGCCCGTAGCAGTAATGTCCCGGCCGTTTAAGCTCACCCTAAGCATGCTTCAGGCACTGATCAGCCCATCAATATCGCTGGAAACATGACGAAAACGGGTGAGCTAGCCTGCGCGTTGCATCCTCGCATTGAAGCTTCCGACACGCAGACGTCATATCCAGTCCCTGACGTACCGTACCGTATACGCCTTCTTGTCGACAAGCTGATCACCTCGTGTTTCAATGTCACCAGACTGAGGGAGGGCAGTTCGGCTGGTTGTGTGACCTAATACGGCGGTCCCGGTCGCATCGGGCGAGAGTTTTCCCACCACACGATAACGGCATCATACGGCGGTATGTATGCGAAAGTGCCGGTGGATGCGGTGGCATTGAATCTTTCCGCATCCCGCATCTCGGTATCGCTAGCCGGTCGCTATTTGGATTTGAACTTCAACCTTCCAAAACCACCTCTATAGCTCCTCTCTTCACATTCCCATTACACAACAGATTCCCACATCGGAGGTTATCCGTATGGCGCCATCTCCCCAGCCTCCGTGCCACGAGGACATGTTACCACGGTACCTGTGTCGTTGATGTCGTACGAGGTACACGGTCGAGAGGAAAAAACGAGGCTGGCAGAAGGACACGATCCCCGCTGGTGCCACACCCGCTACCTTAGTGCTCCTACCCACCCATCGCCACATCCGGAAATAGAAACCCACCAAACCTCGTATTTGCAACCAACGCTACCCGTGAAAGTAGCAGGCGACGTAGCAGATACGAACCGGTTATATGGAGATCGTGAGGAAAGGGAACAGCGCGGAAGGTGGTAAGCGGGCGGCGGAGGGCGGAAGGCGTCGGCACCTTTTTGTTGCGATAAGACAAAATCATCTCATGAAGTTTTTCTGCTTACGCCGGAGAATTGTCCGGAGAGATGGTTGTTCTATTCTTAACGACGAAGCGCGGTAGCGGAGATGTCTGTTTCTCCGACCGCAGACAGCAGACTGCACATGTCCCTCATGGCAAGCACGCGAGTACCGTTCTGTCAAGTTCATGTTCGCGCATGAAAGACCGGGCCGTCCCCTGTCGCATACTATGGAGATACTGCTGCTTTCGGCCGATGGGAAAAACAAACCACGGTACGCGAATTATCTAGCCATGTACCTCACATGCGATAGTCGCATACACGCATGCGCTCGATAAATTCGATAATCACGATTGTTCTAAACGCGTTTGGTAGGGAGGATTAATGCATGGACTATTTGCTTCCGCTTTTGGAGAGGGTGGAGAGGGTAGGGCGGTGTAAACGGCTGTCGATGTGGGGAATTGAGAAAGATCGTGAGGGTGCTGGATGTTTCTTTGCGGAATACCGAGGTTGGGGGTATGAGAACATTCGAGGGTTTTCACGATCATGCTGCCCTTCAATCTCGACGACGAGCGCAAGAGCTTGGATGCCACTGAATCAAAGGCGATGGCAGAACTTCATACTAGAGATCCAAACAAAGCGGTCCTCGTACCCATACAAACAGCTATTGCGATCACCCCGCCCACCAAGGTACAACCTCAATAGCCAGCACGACGTTACATTACAGTCTGACAAGCGACCTCATCCTCGACCGTGGAAGCTAGTGTTTAAGCAAGTTTGTGTGTGCTCTAGTAGTCCGAGTCCGGTACAGCCCTCTACTAGCAAGCGCAAAGGTTATGAGACTGGAGTTGAGCTGACCAGGTGTTTGGAAAAAGGTACGGACACATGACTAAAGCTACTTCGAGGCCTGAAGCTCGTTGAAATAATGAGGATGATTGTTATGCGCGCATTTGTAGAGATGTTTCACACATCCGTAAAACAGAGGGATTGTAATCGTTCCACCTATCCCAATACAACTTCAACGGCGCAAGAGCAGGCCGGACGAAAGCGTGTACCAAGCCCACTTGCTCCCCCTCGCGATGTACGTCTACGTTTACGTGTATGTATACGAAGCAATGCATCTTAAGTGGTGAGAAAATCTAGATACTCTGGGACACTAGCAGCGTCCGGCTACAAAATCCAGGTAAGCCTTCCACCTTCTCCAGTACCAATACAACGTCCCTCAAAGCTAGCGTCCTATCTACCAAAATACAAGTCCAACAAGTAGTACAACAACGTACGCGGCAATCCAAGCTAAAACCGCTGACGTGTTCTCCATTGCGACGCGTCTTCCCCGTGGTATCAAATCAGCATAATCAATACACCCCTACGCTGATCCCAGAAGCCACTACAAACATTCCAAGATTCCACCGAAGACGTAGCTAAAAAAAAAAAACCGCGCGCGACTCAGCTTACGCAACACTCGGCTCCCATCGCAAGCTTCAGACGGAAGCAAAGTCTACGCCATTAACGCGTCTTACCTATCGTACATCCCCTTCGTACATCCCACCTAGCCTGGCACCCTGCGTACTCAGATGTTGAGGTCAGCACGAGCTGGAATAGACGCGGTGGTAGTAGTAGTACAGTAGTAGTACAGTACCAGTAGTAGTACCAGAGATGTACTGCTGCTACTACCAGTACTGTACTACTACTCTACTACTACTACCGCGTCTATTCCAGCCCGTTTGGTAGTACATCCTCTCCCCCATCCCATCCCCCCCATCCCATCCCCATCCCATCCCATCCCCATCCCAACCCCCTCCTCACATCCACAAACACAACTTCCCACTCGCCGTCCCCGCAGCCACCCAATCCACCGTCGGATGAAACTTAGCCACCGCCGGCACAGCCGTAATGCCCTCGCCCCCCAGCTGCGCCAACTGCTGGCCTTTTGCGGTGTAGATATCGACGAAGCGGTTCATGTTGCCGATGCAGAAGCGTTGCACGTTGTCTTGGGGGTGTTGTTGCCATTGTGCTCGGAGACTGTTTTATCGTTAGTGAGGAGTAAGGTAGCGTGAGAGGTAGGGAGGTAAGTAGGTAGGTAGGAAAGGGGGAACAGAAGAACTCACATAGTAACCCATCTCCCCGTCTGATTATTATGCGGCACCACAGCCGTCGGTTCCATAGCCTCTTCTTCCACCGTTGTACCAACATCCCACTCCGCACAATTCCCAAAATCATGTATCTTAATCGTATCATCATAACTCGCCGTCGCTACCTGCCCCGCACTATTCCACGCCGCATGCGACACGCTCAATTTACTCGTATGCTCGCCCACCAGCGCCGGTGCCCTCTCCCCACCCTTCCCGCTTATCTTCCTCAGATCCCATATCTTGAGTGTGCGGTCTAAGGAAGCGGTGGCGACGAGATGAGGGTGCAAGGGGTGTAAAGTGAAGCCTCCGATTTTCTTGTCCGAGAGTTGGAAGATTTGGAGGCCGGCGGCTGCCTCGCTGGGAGTGCGCATGTCGTAGATGCCGAATTGGCCGTCGAGAGTGGAGAAATACAGGGTATGAGGATCGTCTTTGGAGATTTCGAGACCGGAAAGGGGCGCTTCTTCGTCTTTGTCACGAGGGGCGTAGACTTCGACTGCGACGCCTTTTGCCAAATCGAGTTTCCTGACCGAGGAGTCGTAGGAGGCGGTGTAGAGGGCGTTTGCGTCGTGAGGGCTGAATTGGAAAGTGTGTATTGTGCGGGTGTGTGGCTTGAGCGTCGTGATGGTCGGTCCTTCCCTATCCGCGTCCTCGTCGTCTTCGACTTTGACTTCCGCCACTTTCTGTGATGCATCGCAGATTCCCAGGTTCCCCAGCTTATCACCGGCAAACACCAATGGCTTGTCGGTTGTGGGGTGGAGGCCCATGGAATATATGCGCTCGGGTGTGATCTTAATCTCGTTCGGCTCGAAATCTTCCCAGAGCGTTAGGCCGCTCATGCGCTCTCGTAGGGCACGCAATTCCTTGTCCGTAGTCTCCTTCACATCATCGTAGTCAAATGTGCGTGCGTATGGGTCTGCTGGGCCGACGGAGAGGAAGTTCCCGCTTTTGTTCCAGTCCTTGCCTGCTACGACTATGTCACTGAAGTTGAAGGCATCACTAACGCGTTGTCGCTTTGCGCGATCAGCTGCTTGTATCGCGACGTATTCATCCTCGGCTTTGCGCTTTGCGACCTCACTGTCTGCCACAATGCCCTTTAATCGCGAGGATGTTCTACGTGGCGCTTCTTCTTCTTGCTTGATCTTCTTGGGCACGGGCTTCTTGACTTTCGGTCGCGATGGCACAGAGGTCTTTGCCTTGCCTGTGGGACCTAGACCGGCTTCTGCAGCTTCCATCTCAAGGTTGCGCAAGAGCGCCTGCGTCTTTGCAATGTTCTCCTGCCGTTTCCGCTCATACTCGCTGACCTCGACATTTTTACCGCGCGCCATGTTGGAAAGCAGGTCCAATCCTTAATTGTATACGGAGAGGGGCCTCGAATCGGGGTCGTGGCGGGGACGTGTAGGCTGCGATGCGCGTGGGGTCGTGGTCGGTTGGAGATCGCGTTTCGATTCGTTTAGATATCGCCTCTGAGATTTGCGGGGTATCCGATGGGTTCCTGAAGATCGGATGGCAATTGTCTGCTGGATGCCAGGGGAATTGTGGATTGCTGGGAGATGCTGGATCGCAGAAGTGTTGCCACTAGCGCAGGCGCGTTCGACGCGTCGGTCACGTGGCGACGTGATTGACAAGATCCGGACCTGCGATCGTATGCGGATCTTCAGCCTCCTGCACGATTTGGAATGGTGTCCAAGGGCCACGTGGTAAGATTATTTCGCCTCCAAGATCGATATGCAGACGTTGAGATCGATTGTCCAGTTCAACGTCGAAATTGATCGACAGCTCTACGACGTCACAGGGTTAGTGTGAGATCTGATCGATGTCGGTCTTGGCAGATTTGCGGAGAAAGCAGCAAATGTCCGCATCGGCTGATCTCTACATCTTCAATTGCATCCACCATGCCACCATCACGACTAGCCAGCTCGCTACTCGGGAGTGTCCGAGCAGCCTCAATTCGCCCGACAGCCGCTTCGCGACAACGATGCCTGTACCATTCGTATGATTACGCGCAGCCGCCGCCATTTCCTCCCGCCGAGTCAGCCATCCTCTCTTCCGCATACGCACACGTACCCAGCCATGGGTTTACCATGGATGCACTGAAGCTTGGTGCTCGCGACGCCGGCTATCTCGATGTTTCTACGAATCTGCTTCCGCGGGGTGTCTTCGATTTGATCAATTACCATCTTGTCACGCAGCGCTTGGCGCTACAGAACAATGTTCAATTTCCAGACCAGGGAGAGCAAGGGAAGAAGATGGGCGTTGGCGCAAAAGTCAGGACGTTGACACTGGCGCGGTTGCGGGCGAACGAACCCGTCATACATCGATGGCAGGAGGTAGGACAGTGCATACACAACAGCAGAGGTCAGCGTGCTGATGGGTGATAGGCACTCGCGATCATGGCCCAGCCTACGTACGTCCCGGCATCTATCGCCGAACTTGCGAGACTTGCAGACGAGATATGGTTTCTGTCGGGAGACCAGAGTGTCGACAGCAGCTGGTACACCAAGCGCGCAACGCTCTCAGCCATCTACTCTTCGACCGAGTTATACATGACACAGGACAAGTCGGCCAACTTTGTAGAGACGGAGCAGTTTCTGGATAACAGATTACAAGACCTGATGAAGGTTGGCGGCTTCATGGGAGGACTGGGCGAGTGGCTCAACTATACGGGACATTCTGCCGTCAACGTGCTGAGGAGTAAGGGTGCGCGCATCTGAGTTGGTCTGTCCATCGGCGGATGTTGACTGTTTCATGGCATGTTAAGCCGAGGCCATGATGTATTCTGTGTTTCTACTTTTTCCGCTACACTAGCGAAGACGTCACGGCACATGCGATCTCGATGAGATGTTGGAATGTGACATTTCCAGTATGAAACCCCTTCAGGTTTTTGAGTGTCCAAACACCATCGTACGATTTAGACGAGCCTAATTCTAGCATCGCCGATGGTGTCGTGCATCCTAACGAGTTACGAAACAATATTGGTTGCGATTCGGTGATTTGGCCGGGGCGTCCTCCCGGCGCGCTCTGCCCTGCAGTGCTGTAACGAGTAATCTGCGATCCGAGCTCAATCGGTGATCTGAGGTTGGAAGTGGCATCACCCCACCGTGAGAGTGAAAAATGTTGGAGCAAGCAGTCATGGTCAGCGGTCGTCCCAGGTCAAAGCCCCTGAGGATCCAGGCGTAATAAGACCCTTTTCGTATGCTTGTCGGAGGGAGTCAGCTGCATGCCTGTCGTGAGATGCATTAACGAGTGTTCCAGCTGGACCCTTTATTGCGATGGCCCTCTCGATTGCGATGCTGGCAGCGATGAGGGCGGCACAGTGGGAGTCAGTCGCCCGCCAATCATGACGGCAGGGTGTCTGAGCCGAACAACCAAGGACAGATCAGGGTCCAGGAAATCGATTGCGCCTCCCAGCCGTTGCCAGCACCGTGCAAGAGTGACCTCATCCAGGGAGGGGACACGGGGAGTGTGCGTCAGGAGAGGGCCGGCTAGCATTTGCAATCTCGATGGATGCTGTGGCCATGTAGGAGAGTGCGTGTGGCTGGTGAGGCTCTAGCGGCAGCGTGTCAACGGTTCGTGCCGCCACGGTTCTGATGCGATGGGAAGCCATGGTGTGAAGAGGGTCTGGACCATCTCTCATGCCGTGCAGCACTGGCAGCAACTGTCAGACGCGGATCTAGACGGTGGCAAGTGTAGATATGTGCGGGCGGTTGCATGTTGTTCGCAGTGCGGCAGTGCTGGCTAGGAGGTTGTGTTCTCCGGAGAAGCATAGGAGAGGACGGCCATCACAGATATGGAGAGCCATCGAGACTTGAGGGTCAACGGGCGGAACAGAAGGGCGATGGGCTTCCCAGTGGGCGATGGTGGGCTGGAGATCAAGGCCCATCGTCGATTGCCGGTAGTTCTTGCGCTAGGCCCGAACGCCACACTTCGTCTTCGCGGCCAGGTACCCTCGATCTCCAGCTGCAGTCTTGGCAAGTTGGAAATCGAGAGCATCGACATGCTTACCCACATCAAGATCGATGCCCATCATGGCTCACCTGCTCAAACCAGCGCCGAGAGAGCCCACAACTCTCTTCAGCCATCTTTGCACGCTGAAACTGCCTCCCACTGCCCCGACGACGCCGCTACCAGCACTCTACATACCATACGAACCACCGCCGCGGAAGCGTCTGATCTTTTCGAGCCTGGGCACAACAGCCTCCCGGTCTACAATATACGCACACCTTGGACATTTGAAAGCTAGCTCGACATTCACCATCCTATCCACATGGGGAGCATCCTGCCTGTCTAGCCGCCAACTCTCCACCCGCCCTCATGAACGACCGCCCGGGAACCATTCCCATGGCTGCGCGCTCCCACCCACGCCGCCCGCCAGCCCACCGATCCGTCTCTCTCCGCCACAGCCCGCCGCCTAAACCTCAACCATCAAGACGCGAGCCCAAGAAGGCGCCGACTGCTGAGACATCGCCCACCCTCGCCAGCGACAAGGCCAATCCGCCCTCGAGCGTGTCTCCCCAGCTTCTCTCCAACAAGACCAGCTCTGGTGAGAGCAGCGACGCCGGCCAATGGTTTGAAAAGACCAACAACACGGCCAGCCAGGGAAAGTCGTCGTTCGTCGACAGTGAGTGCCGCCAAGCAGACAGTAGAGGGGAGAGTATGACTGACCACCGTAGATGAACCGCCCTTCTTCCTCCGCAACTCGTCTTCGTCCGAGACACCGCCCGACAACTCCAACTCCACCCAGCCACATGCCACCATGCCATACCGTCCCCTCGGCCAGATTGGCACAGACGGCAGCAGCACCGAAGACTTCCGCAGCGTCATCGACGACTTGACCGTCGCCAACAAGAAGCTCAAGCAGCGGCTGAGGAAGTACGAGAAGCTCTACGATGCCCACCTGCAAGAGGAGAAGCTGTTCGAGGTGAGGTTCCATGGCCTGCCCGACCACAAGAAGAAGGAGCTCGAGGAGACTCTGCGCAAGTTTGCATCAGATCTCGACGAAGGCACTGCCAACGACTACGCCGACATTTCAGCCTACACCCCTGCACTCCAAACCCACAACACCGCCTCCTCCACATCGCGCTTCGCCGAGTCGGGCTACGCTTCCCTATCTGCGTCCGGCCCCAACTCGTCGGGACAATCCAACCAAGACAACGACCGCCGCAAGATGACCAAGTCCGCCTACAGCCGGCAACAGCAAAACATCCAGTCATACCTCCACGACATCCCCATGGGCCTGCTACCGAACAACAAGACCGCCCCCATGACCGACAAGTCCAAGAAGAAGATGGTCGTGCGCCGTTTGGAGCAGATCTTTGCTGGCAAGCGCTCTACGCCCGGGTCCCACCCACACCCAATGCAGCAACAGGAGGTAGCCCAGTCGGCAGCTACAGCCGACCGCGTCCAACAAGAAGCGACAGGACAAAATCAGAAGCCCGAGGGTCAGCGTGAAGCTCGTATCAGGAACGACCGCGGTGCCAATGCTGGTCAAGAGAGCCATACCGACCAGGACGAAGTTCTACAGGGCTTCCGCCCCAGTCTGCATATCGAAGAACAGGACTTCGCCGGCTCAGGCCTGTCTCCCGATCAACGGCCCACACGACCACTAGACCTGGACCCGTACCGTGCGCAGGTGCCTACCGAGAACATGGACTACATCCGCCATCTTGGCTTCACCCCACCAGACATGGACTCTGGAGAAGCACCCCTCGGCCACGGCTGGATATACCTCAACTTGCTCATCAACATGGCCCAACTACACACTCTCAATGTCACGCCCGAGTTCGTCAAGGACGCTTTGCACGAGTACAGCAATCATCTCGAAATCTCTCGCGATGGTCGTAAAATCCGATGGAAGGGCGGCCTCGACATCACCAAGTACAGCGGCGATAGCTCGTCGGAGCACTGGAGTGGCGCCTCGCCGAACGAATCTGGCTCCCAGTCGCCTTTCAAGGGTATGAAGACTGGCAACAGCGGTGCCAGCAGCGACATGATGGATGAAGCCACGATTGCCAGAAGGCAAGCTCGTGCCCAGCGTGAGAAGGAGCAAAACAAGTTTGCGTACAAACCCATGTTCTTCCACAAGGATGAGTCGGAGAACGAAGACGAGTTTTACGCCTTCGATGCCGAATCCTCAGCCAACTACTCTTACCAACCACAGCCCACGGGAAACTCCTCGGGTTTCAGCAGTTCCATCATGCAGAGTTCATCATCAAAACCTCGCAGGCGCGATGATGGACCCATGATCTTCTACACCAAGGCCAAGTTCTGCACTGACCTGAGCGGTGATCGTAACGGCGCTTTCCTCACCATGCCCGGCAACTATCAGCCAATCACCAATCAGCCTCTTGGTGCCAAACAGGGCACATCATCTCCGACCAAGATGACGTCGCTGGACCTGGCCGAGCCCCGAGGTCCTTTGGACACTACGCCGATGGATGTTGACAGCGGATCACGCACTGTTTCGAGTGGAGATGACCTTGGCTTCTCGCCCGAGGCCTTGAGGAACGATAGCGGCAACACCAGCCCAGAACTAATGGACTTTGAGGCTTCAGGTTTGGGTGGTGTGCAGCCAGAGGACAACTTCTCCATCCACGTACGACGATCACAAATACCCACCGCACCATCTCATGTCGCCGCTCGCCGCTGGTCAACCTTGTACCCCAAGGCCATCCAGGATGCACTCAACAGGCAGTCGTCTCCTGAAGTCGAGTCTCCTAGGTCAAGTCCTCAGCGTGTGATTGAGGAGAGGATTCTCTCTGCGTCACGGAAAAACCTTCCTAGCTCGACTCTTCCTCCCGCCTCCTTCCTTCCACTGGATTCTTGTTCTTCCGGCGACGTCGACTCGGACCTTGCATCCGACGCCTCATCTGAGCCCGACAGCGACAGCGACTCTGGCGGCCCTACAACTGCCATGCAGATTCTCAACATCGCGCCCATCGCCTCCGACGTCTCCGAAGGATCTGAATCGGATTACGAAGACAGCGACGACGGCAGCGTCGACATGCTCGCTACAGCCCGCCAACAAGACCCCAGCGCTGTCCGTGCTAGCGAGCGCGAATACGACGCTGCGCTCGCCGATCGTCTTGCCGAAGAGATTCCCGCTGGAAGTTCGGCTGCAACCGCTGGAGGCGGCAGCGGGTTCAACAGCCCCGCCGGTGGTGTGCGCATCCGCGAGGCTGCAAAGTTGGCTAAGCGTGCCAGTCAGGCCAGCAGTGGAAGTAGCAGGGCTGGTCCGCCGGCGAATCTCAAACGCGCCCGCACGAGCGATTCGTTCAATCCTCCTCCGAAGAAGAGTCCCAAGACGCGGAGGATGGGGGAGTGATCTGACTAGCAACTTGACTGGTCTCATCTTTTTCAGTTCCAGTAAATGATATAGTGAGCGTTCACGTTTGGAGATCCACGAGGCGTTTTGGATCTTTTCTTTTCTTTACGGATGGGCGGCAAGGGATTTTCACATGGATGATTTCGCCATTTTGATACCCCCCTTTTTACGATATCGTTGGTTGGCCATTTGAGTACAACACATACTGAATGGTAGTACATATCAATCTATGAAAGTATCAACATAAGTTTTGTTCAAGTGACATGTGATATGCTGTTATGACGACAAGAGAATGGACTAATATAGGTGAACAGGCTTTGCAAAAGAGCGAAGGCTTTAGAGACCACGAGGACACTGTAATTTAGTAACAGCAGAGCAATGTGCCCTGCT